CTATTTATATGATCACTGACGTAGAGTGCACAATCAGACCTCTGTCTGATGGAACTGCAGCCTCTTGAAAATCAAGAGCAGCAGCCAAAGGGGAGTGAGGGGGAGGGGAAGGGATGGGATGGGAGGATGAGAAGGAGCAAGAGAGACAAAAACCCCAATCAGGACTAGGTTCTAACCAAGCTCTTAAAATGTCCCCTCTTCCCCACCCCCCAACATTTTTACACAGAAGAAATAAAAATACCCTTTCTGCCGAAGTTGCCACAGACATTTCTGAAAACTATATTTTACTGTTTGTTATTTTATTTTAGACAGGGTCTCACTCTGTCGCCTGGGCTAATGTGCAGTGGCGTTATCATAGCTCACTGCAGCCTCAAATTCCTGCTCAAGCAATCCTCCTGCCTCAGCCTCCCAAGAAGCTGGGACTACAGACCCAGCTAATTTCTCTATTTTCTGTGGAGATGGGGTCTCACCTTGTTGCTCGGGCTGGTTTTGAACTCCTGGCCTCAAGTGATCCTCCCACCTCAGCCTCCCAAAGTGCTGGGATTAGAGGCATGAGCTACCGTGCCTGGTCTTACTGTTCTTTAACACTATTTAATTTCAGGAATAGTGGTCTTCTCAGGGAATCACAAATGTGGAAAAATACAATAAAGACTGAAATGAAGGAAAATGCAAGTAACTAAAAGAAAAAAAAACAAAACACCTGTATCTATCACCTGCAAATTCAACATGTCTTAAAATCAGTCTCTCCAAACTCAGCTCCCTTCCCAACCTCCATTTTTGGACAAAGTACTTCTTTTCTTTTTGTTAAAAAAACCCTGGGATCAACTTAGAGTCCCCTCTCTCCTTCAAGCCCTGTAACTAGTTAGACCTCAAATTCCACGGATTCTTCCTTCAACATCTCTCATTCCATTCACTTAAGTAGTTCTTATTGTATACCTACTTATGCTAGTTCCAGGAGACTCTGGTGGTACAAATGGGAAGGTAGAAAAGTAGAGATGTGTATAGAAACAGCTCCTGAACAAGTCTGCTAAGTACATAAGTGGATGAGACATAAGCATGTACTATAAAGATTCTGAAGTGTGAAATGTTGTCTGGTTAGGGTAATCAGGTCATACTTGGAGAGGAGGAGGGGACTCATACTGGGCCTTGACTCCTAGGTCTAACTTGGATTAGATAGAGCTAGTGGAGAGAAGTGGGAAAGCAAGCTTTCAGGGAATAGTGAATAAAGGTGGATCCTGGAACAAAAGGTCCAGGGCAGTGGTGAGAATAATGGCTGAGGCCAGGTAGTAGCAGCCTTTGAAGGCCTGCCTGAGAGGCCCTTAACCCTTAGACTGCCAGGTCATTTCCCTTCCATTACTCGGACCTTATTTACAGCTGACACCCACTTTCACCAGGAACCCAGGTGCAAAACAAAGTTGGTGGTAGCTGCTTTTGTGAGCACAGGGTATTCCTTCTGCATTTACTTCATAGGAGAGGATGCTGCTGAGAGCTGCTGAACAGCTGAGCTAGCTGGTCCTTCAGCACTAACAAAGCTTGATTTAGGCTGAAGATTAAAAAGCACATGTTGTTCTGGGGGTGCTTCAAAACTCTGTTAGCCTTTAACAACCCTACCTAGGGCTGTGATCTAAGATTGAGAATGCTAACTTAATCCTTCTCAAATTTGCTTTCATTTTATTGCTGGGGCCCTTCCTCAAGGACGTACAATTACTCCTATTACCTACAATAGGTCATTCAAATCCTGTTGCCTGGAATCCAAGGTTATACATAATCCAACCTCACCAAGCCTTTTCAACTTTATCTGTTACTATTCCTATACCAACCTTCTTTTCTTTGGAGGGCTAAATTATTAATACAACTGTGTTCCAGAGTCTTAGCTGAGCTAAACTAGACAATAGTTTAGGCCATTTTTTCAAGCATAAATAAAAACATACATTTTACAAAAATGTTTATATAAGAATTTAGCAGTACTTATTGAAGCTTTCTTTCAAAGTGTATTCTGAATCTGAAAAATCCAAAATTACTGTTTTCATAATGTATAAATGTGAAAGATTAGTTACAAATGACACTGGTACAATATTGGATTGTATAGATGTATGCATTTGTCAAAATCAGCAAAGGTACACTTAAGATTTGTATACAACATTGTGTATACATTTTACACCAATATAAACGACAAAAAAACTGTAGTCAATGATACGTATGCCAAAGTATTTAGAGGTAAATATACTGATATCTGCAATTTAAATGAATAGATTGATATGTGATAAACCAAGTTATATTAATATGTTAATGGTAGAGGGGAACCTTTGTAACTGTTGTGGGAATGTAAATTAGTGCAACCACTGTGGAGTACAGTATGAAGATTCCTCAAAAAACTAAAAATAGAATTACCATATGACCCAGCAACCCCACTGCTAGGTATATATCCAAAAGAAGGGATTCAGTATATCAAAAAGATATCTGTACTCCCATGTTTATTGCAGCACTATTCTAATAGTCAGGATTTGGAATCAACCAAGTGTTTATCAAAGGATGACTAGATAAACAAATTGTGGTACATATACACATACAGCCATAAAAAAGCATGAAATCCTGCCATTTGCAACAACATGGATGGAACTGGAGAACAGAATGTTGAGATAAACCAAGCACAGAAAGACAAATCTCACATGTTCTCACTCCGATGTGGGTACTAAATATTAAAAACAATTATCTCATGGAGACAGAGAATAGACTGACGGTTACCAGAGGCTGGGAAGGGTAGAAGCGGGTTGTGGGGGATAAAGTGGGGATGGTTAATGGGCACAAAAATATGGCGAGATTTTTTTTTTTTCTTGAGGCAGAGTCTCTGTCACCCTGGCTAGAGTGCAGTGGTGTCATCGTAGCTCACTGTAACATCAAACTCCTGAGCTCAAGGCACCCCCCTGCCTCTGTCTCCTGAGTAGCTGGGACTACAGGTGCATGCCACCACACCTGGCTAATTTTGCTATTTTTTTGTAGAGACTGGGTCTGGGTCTTGCTCTTGCTCAGGGTGGTCTCAAACTCCCGACCTCAAGCGATCCTGCCACCTCAGCCTCCCAGAGTGCTAGGATTACAGGTGTGAGCCACCACGGCCCGGCCAAAAATTTTCATAATAAAACATTGGGAAAATGACTTTGATAACACTATATATACATCGTAAAACTGTAAGATGGTTTAGCTTAGTGGCAGCCCCAGGTATGTATGTGCTCCTTGATGCTTCCAAATTGCCCTGCACACACTTCTTACACCATGGTTGTCTCTTTCACCACACTGTAGTTCCTAGTGAACACACACTTAATCTAATTTGTATTTCTATTGCTTTGCATCATGTTTGGAGAATAATATGTTTTCAGTAATGGAAGGACTGAATGAAAACGGAATACTGTTCAGGACCAAAGTATTATATTCCCAGCAGATTCACTATTCTTTTCTTACGTATTCTAAAAGTTAGTATGTTCAGTTTGCAAGAGAGACGTGTCCTTCTCCCCAAGCATGCAAAATTTCCAAAATTAAAAACTTAAAAACAAAAAACTCATCTGTACTCATGAAATCAATCATTTTACACTCTATTAATTAAACCCGAGTAATGTTCAATAACGTTTTAGTAGATTATTTTTTCTAAAAGAGCTAAGTCTCAGAATTCCAAGGAAGCCTGGAATTTATTTTATTCAAATCTTAAATAAGCCATTAGAACTAAGAGATCCCTAAACCAGTCAAAAGCAGGAAACTGGAGATCCGGGAAGAAGATAAAAACAAACATCACGTAAAAAAGTCACGAAACGAACTAATCAAGAACTCTACCAAGAAACGAGGAAAAGTCTTAAGGAGAATACACAGAACATCTCCAATTCCCTCTAGACTGGCTCCTCTCCTATTCTCTCCAATTAACAGCCAGTCAGAGCCGGGCTGCCTGGCCACTCCCAAGATGCCACGCGACCGGAGCGGATGCCGCTAAAGATGCATCTTCCCCACAAACGTGGTTTCAAGCTTGACCGCCTGGTTTGGACCCGAACACCTGGGTTCGAGTTCCAGCTTCCCCTACCTCCTGCTTGGTCTGTAGCTCTGTGCAAGTCTCTTGCCCTCGCTGGGCCTCAGTTTCCTCGTCTATAAAATGTAATGATTCTCTGTCTTCGGCTATAGGGAGATGAGGAGCGTAAAATGGCTTTAAGGAAGATACAGTCGACTCTCCAACTTGTCATGGCTCTGAAGCTCGCGGTGCTCACCAACCAGCCCCCAGACCTCCAAGTCACCGCTGCCCCTCACTGCCTTTCCGCCCGGCGCCTGTGCTGAGGCCGCTCCCTCCTGTCGGCCCCCATGCGGAAGCCGCGCAGCACCATCTGCCGTACCTGCAGCCACCTGGTCAGCGGGGCCCTCCTGCTGACCCATGACAAAGTCGTGCACGAGGCCCCACAGGGCGCCCGCAGGCGCTGCCGCCTCCAAAGTGGCGGCGGCGGCCATGACGCGAACTAGAGCCCGAGGGAGGGGAAGTAGGCGGTGGCACGAGAAGGGCCTCTCCGCGCACGCGCCTCCTGAGCCAATCGCCTGGCGGAGGCCAAGGGGGCAGGCAATCCCCGGATCACGTGCGTGCCGGCTCCGGGCCGGGTAGTTCCAGTGAGGGACAGGACGGCCCCTCCCCGAGGGGCGTGGCCCTGAATCGGGGCGGTGGCGCGGGGAGGGAAGGCGGCTGCTGGGCACGCAGCCGGGGGCTATTGAGGACGAATAATTCCCGGCCGGGCTCCCTGGGAGACGGGCGGCGGGGCGGGCACCTGGTTGGGTGGGGCCGAGGGGCGGTACGCACCTGGGGGAAGCCAATGAGAATATCAGGCCTGGCCCGAGGGGGCGGTGCCGGCGGTCACATGCGCACCTGGGGCGGGTGGTGGCGGCGGCGCGGGCCCCGCGAGCCGGCGGAAGGGAGTGGGGCCGGGCCGGGGCGGGGTTAGGCAGGTGAGTGACAGGCTCCAGGGGGCTGGCCCCAGCCGGGAGCCCCGAGCAAGCCCGGAGTAGCTGCGGCGGTGCCCGCCCCCTCTCTCCGACCCTCCAGTGGAGCTGGTCTCCGGCCGGGCACCGTCGCGGGCCCCCCTGGCCCGGCCACCTAGGACTGTGCTGGGGAGCCGGCCACCTCCCTCTCCCCTTGCCCGCAAAGTTTTGGCGAAGCCAGCGCCTTGGCAGAGTGCGCCCCCGAGGGGAGATCCGGGAGCGCCCCATGCCGGGCGCCCAGAGCCGTTGACCCGGGACGCCGCCGTCCGGGCTGGGAGCGCAGAGCAGCCGACCACCCCGCCGCCTCCGGTGCATGGGGACCGGCTGAGGAGCCAGCATGGGCAACTGCGTGGGGAGACAGCGCCGGGAGAGGCCGGCCGCCCCGGGACACCCCCGCAAGCGAGCAGGTAACGACAGAGGAGGGAGCAGGGCCTCGGCACCCGGCCAGTTGTCCCTCTCCTGGCCCGAGCCCTGGGTTGCCCGAGCGACCTCCCGCGGCTCCTGGCGCCTGGGCTTCCCCGATGGGCTGCTCCGCGTCCAGGCGGGGCCCCTCCCCAGCGCCGGTTGGCCGGGGGAGCCGAGTTGGGGCAACTGCGAGCGCTGAGCCGGCTTCGAGATCAACTCGCTCCAACTGGGAAGCTCCTGGTGGGGGTGGGGGCAGGAAATGTTTGCAGACCGCAGCCGGGCGACGGAGGGAGGGGGTCCGGGGCCGGGGCGCGCTGGCCTGGCAGCTCGGGCCGGGGTCGGCTGCCGGTCCGTCGGGGTACGGCGCGGTAGCCAGGCGTCCCCAGAACTCGGAGCGAGCGAAGCGAGAACAGTTGCTCCTTCCAAAGCCTGTGTCATTATCGGGCTGCAGATCGTGTCTGCCGGAATCCGACTTGCAAGAGCAGCGCAGAACTCTGGGAAAGAAATCTTTATTTTTCCCGCAGGGGTTTTTAGAGCCTCCCAGCCGTCTGGGAGTCTAGAGAAGATGGGGTGCGGGGTGAGAGTCGTCCTCGGGTTTGTTGGGATCCTTCCCAGCCTTGGGAATGGGATCCGCTCTCTGGCGAACCACGAGGCCCGGGCAAAACGTTCTCACTTTCTTGGTACACCCCTCCTATCCTGGCGTTTCGCCCCGGGAAGATGTCTGGCGGTCATTTTTCTGGGTCTTGTACTCACTTCCTTCTTTGAGGGTGTTGCAAGGACCTTCTGAGAATGATAAAATTGTAGACGTTAGAGCTCAAAGGGACCTTCAAAACTTGTCTGTGTTCCAGACAGACCTACCTTCTATGTAAAAGCCGAGATCCAGACAGGTTGAGCAACTTGTCCAAAGGCACACAGCTAGTCAGTAGCACAACTGGGACTCGAACCCAGTCTCCTCTCCCGCCCCATTGCCACATATCCCTTCTGGTAAGAGGAGCCACAGGCAGAATTGTTAATGAAGTGGAAACTCTAGTTGGAGTTTCCTGTCTCGTTTGACACCAAAGGAGTCAAAGACAGGTTTCGGAAACTGGGAAGGTGGTTGGGGGGAACAAGGGGAAGCAAGGAAGGATGTCTGTGTGATGGACAGGATGACTTGTGCAGGAAGAAACGTGTTTTTACGGGAAGGATGGAGTAAAACTCAGCATTGAAATCCTCTTGTCTGAAGGTGACACTGGCGGTTTTTCTGATTGAGGAAAAACTATTCTCAAACCCCAGGGCTTTCATTCATTCATTTGTTCAACGAATACTTACTGGTGTGCTTGGTCCTCATAAATGATCATGTAGCATTTTTTGCTGTTGACAGTTCTCTCCTGCTTGAAGATCTCCTTCCTTTCTTGACATCAGACTACCTTGGTTTTCCTCCCGGAACACCCCTGCCTACCATCACCTCCTAAAATGTTCACACCTGTGGTTCAGTTTGACGTTTTTTTCTCTCATTACGCTTCCTCCCAGAGAAATCTTATTCTGTCCTGTAACTCTTTGTCCATTGGGAAGACCCCTGTGCTTAATCTTCAATCAACTATATCACCTCTCTCTCCAGCGCCAGAACCACATCTCCGAGGGTGTACTGGACGCTGTAATTTGGATATTCTCAGATTCAACACCTCCAAAACCAAGCTCCACATCGCTCCCTGGCCACCAGCTTCCCTTCTTTACCCTTAGACTCTTCCAGCTGCCTAACTTTAAACTTCGAGGAACTCCTTCTAAGGACTTTCTCTGCCTCCTCGTCCTCTGCCACCCAGCCAGTCATGCACTGGGGCCTGCTGGTTCTTCCTTCCACAGGTCTTGCAAGACCTGCCGCTTGCCACTCCACTTCATCCCCTGTCACCTCAAGTCCAGCCCTTCCCCCAGGCTGAAGTGAGTTCCCCCTGCAGAGGCAAGCTCGTCTTTGGTCATCATCCAATGCCTGCACATAGTAGTCCTCCCAGAAGACGTTTGTTAAATTAACCTGTTCCAAACCCTGTAGTTCTGTGTTCAAAAATCTTTCTGCACTTTTCACTACTACAAGAACTTGAACCTTCAAGGCTGATCAAGTCTGGCCCCATCCTTTCTTTTAAGACCTGATTTCTTTCCCTTTCCTGACATTAAGGCCACCAGTGTTTGGCCTTGCCTTTTTCTTCTTATCAAGAGCCTTTCTTCCCTACAAGGTCCACCTGAAATCCCGTATCTTTCTTGAAGCACCTCGCCTGACAAATCCACCACCTGCCCCCTTTCCCCACCCCCGGTAGAAGTGATTGCTCCTTCTGAGAACTCCTGCAGACACATTATCTATGCCACTTACTTCACAATTATCTACTCCGTGTTATTAATCATGTCTTTGATGTTTACAGTCTTTTATCAGCAACTACATTGCAAGCCTGGAAGACCTGGGTTCTATCTTATCCGTGTGTATGTGTGTGTGTGTGTGTGTCTCTTTCGCTTGCTCATGTAGCCATGCACACACATACTCAGCACTTAGCACAATGACTTGTACAGAGGAAGCACTCAATATTTGTCGATTTTAAAAACCTAACCCAACTTCATCCTACCATCTGAATTTTTCATATACCTGCTCTTTTTTACCTGCTAGTGTATCATTATTTTAATTCTGTGGGTCTTACTATGAATAGCTTTATTCATAAAGTCTAAAGCTAAGAGGAACTCTGTAGGATGACAAATTTGGTACAAGGGAAGGAATCCTTCTTAACTTCACAGTATGCACCTGGCATTCCTGTAACATCTGCAGCTTACCCTTTGACGAGGACATAGTTTTATGTTGTAATTCCTAAAACTCCCGCAGCTCCCACTGTAACTCGTACCTTTCCTTTTTTCACTGGTACAGTGGGAAGAAACCCTCAACAGAGAGCTAGAACCTGAGTTCTAGTCCTGGGCATCAAACCTCTCTGGGTCACACTTCCAATATTTCAGAAAAGGAGAGCATTACACAAGATCATTAGAGCTGTTTTATCATCTTCACAAAGGCAACTGTTCAAAACTGGAAAGTTATTGAGGTGAAATCTTATGCCTCATAATGCTACTCTTTGTCCTTGTCCTTAGTTCTGTTCTCTTAGTCACTTGCTGGGTGAAGCAGAGACACAATGCCCACTGGTCGGGGATTCTTGCATTAGGTAGAAGGATTAAGTGATCCTCTCATCCCATCAAGTTTTGTGATTGTCACTCTTCTAAAAATTTTTTTTTGGTCTTTATTCTTGATGCATCTCCAGTAGGTCTGTGTTCTTTCCTTCAGGGCTTGAATAGTCTTTGCCTTCTTCAGAGAATACTTGGGGGGCTCCTGCAGTCCCGTACATATACCCCAGGTAGATAAAAATCTCTGCCCGTGAACTAGGTGAGCAGCCTCTTCCCCAGCCACTCCAGGGAGAAACAGAGGTGGTAGAACAGGCAGGTCTCTTGCCCAGCTCCACCCTTTGAGAATGTGGCAGGGCTGAAACCCAAATATCTGACTCTGTGATGTGCCAGGCGTATCCACTTACATACTGGAATCTCAGGCTCGGGGTGGACAGACCCAGGGCCCTGTTTTGGGCTGGTTGGGCTTGGCAGTGTGGTTGCGAGACAGTCTGCTTCTCGTCGTGTGGGCTGTGTGGCTATTCTTGAGGGAGTAATTGGGCAACTTCTTCATTTGCTTAGTAAATATTTACTGAGCGCCAAGCACCCTGCTGGCTGTGAACAGACATGGTCCTTGGCCCCATGGAGCTTACAGTCTTGGGGGGAAACAGACAAACACATAGTCATGCAAATTATGCATGATCATACATACAATTAAGTGTTATTATATATGCTGGTGTGACTCCCACGTTTATAATTTCAGCCCATCTTCCCCAACTCCAGCCTTGTATATTCTGCTGCCTACTCAACATATCTGATGTCTAAAAGGCTTCTCAGTTTAACATGTCCAAAACAGAATGAACCACCACTCCCACCCCTGTTCCTCCCAAAGTCTCTCCCATCTCAGTTCATGGTGATTCCATCCTTCCAGTTGCTTAGGTCCCCAAAGCTCTAGAGTCATCTCTGATTCCTCCCTTTCTCTCATATCCCACATCCATTTAATCAATATTTTCGACTTTGCCTTAAATATGTCCCCAGCCTGACTCTCACCATCTCCATCACTTTCACTCTGATCTAAGCTACCATTAGCCTCTTGACTGACCTTCCTGCTTCCTCCCTTGTCTCCCGACAGACTGTTTTCATCACAGCAGCCAGAGTGATGCTGTAAACCGTAAGTGAGATTTTGTTACTTCTTTGCGCAAACATTCCTGTGACTCCCCGTGTCATTCAGAGTCCTTGTGTTGGTCTATGAGACATCGTATGACTTTGGCTTGCTCACCTTTCTTAAACCATTTCGTGCTTTCCTCCCTTATTCAAACACCTGACATCTGAATTGGTCCCTCCCTTTCTTCATTCCAGTCTCCTACTTAAGAAGTCAAACCTTCCCTATTTAAAATTGATCCCCTTCCCTCTACCACTTGCTCTCAGCATTATCTACCTCCCTTTCCTGTGTTTTCCTCCATAGTATGTGTCATCATCTGATATTGGCTGTCTCCTCTTGCTCCATGTGGTCAGAGGTTTTCATTTGTTCACTCTCTGGTACCAAGAGCAGTGCCTGATGTATATAGTAGGTGCCTCATAAATATTTATTGGATGAAACTAGTGCATATAAACAGAGTTGGTGAGGTCTCTAGAAGAGCAGGAATGAGCATACCTGATTAATCTCCCATCTTAGATGGGTGTTAGGGCAGGTATCCTAGGGGCTTAAACTGCAACCTCAAGAGTGTTGTTCTGTCCCTGGGACTGGCTTCTGTCTTGCCCCAGGCTTGCGTAAGTTCTCAGATACCTGGAATATGTATGATTTGCTGTGGTTTGGGAGCCTCTTGCTAGGAGCTACTGCGGCCAAAGCAGGAGAGCAGAGCCAAGTCCCCTGTTAGGGTCCTAACCAGACAGTAGCACTTTC